CAAATGTTCAATCCATCAAGGCTTATAAAGTTTTTTGGCATCTTTTTATAGAAGAGACTCTATAAAGAGTAGAATAGTAAATATCTGTGGAATTTCTGAGTCACCCATCATCTAATATCTGAGTATCTCTTCTGAAAAATAACCACACAAAAAACCCTTCCTTTTCCAAACCTAAGTCTGTTACTGAGATTTATTTTCCTTTCAAATAAATTCCTTTGAGATTTTGCATTCAGAGGATTCTGCTGTATGCCATATTCATTCAGAACGTAATAGCAGTTTCTGCTTTTCTTGAGACTCACATCCCCTTATCGTTTGAGCTGCAGAAGAGCCTCTGTAGGGAACAGAGCAAACCCGGTGCTGTGCCCCGCAGACATCGTTAGCATGCGACAGCCAGCCTATTGCAGTCCGGGGAGCAGCAGCAGTGCCTCCACATCTTTGCTGATTGACCTCACAGCTCCTTCCTATTTCAAGTACCGCACAGGAACAGAGCTTCACATTGTCTTTGGCATAAAGATAGGGTGCCTCAAGCTACTGATAAGATTATCCCTACTTTAGAAACACAGTTACAGAGCTGTTGTGGGAAGAAAAAATTCTTTTTGCATCAACAGTGGGACTTCACTGGTGTGACTTGTACTGAGAGGGGCAACTTTCATCACGTTTGTTAGGGTTTTCATACGTGAGTGTAAACTGTGTGTCTGCATTCCTGTTTTGCCTGATTTTTAAAATGTTTTATACACTGCCAATTTCACAATATTTTAAATAGAGTTGATAACTGGGACTTTTTTTTTTTGTCCTGAACAAATCTAGGGGAGAAGGGAAAGCAAAAATTAGGAATGAGAAGTACTCCCCCTTGCTCACAGCTAATGATGAGGGAACCCATTGATGCACTGAGGCATGTGCAACATATTAAGGACATAACTGCAGAAGAAGAAACAAACGGACCAGCTAGACAGGGGTGGCATTGAGAACATTCTGTGTGGTTGTTGCTCCGCTCATGTCATTCTCAAGAGCCCTTATGCTGCTTTTCAGCAGCTCTTGCTCATTTCTGTCATTCCCACTGAAAAAAAGCAGTTTTCAGACAGCAGCATGCAGTGGTTGGGACCCCTACCACTGACAATCCAAAACAGTTTTAAGGCAATTTACATTTTAAAAATGAAAATCTCTTAGAGTGAATCTTCTGTGTTTCGTAACATTTTGTGTATGTCTTCTGTAATACTTGATAGCCAGCTGTGTCTCTGAGAGACAATCAAGCCTTCCAGCAAAGATTAAAGCAATCATTATTCTTCAAACACTGATTAAGCTTATACATTTTTTTCAACAGAATTCAGTATGGAAGGAAAAAGACACTTTCTTTGGTTCTACTTTCATTAATGAGTGAGCAAAGTGTTTCTAACTGGGAACAGAATAATACCAAAACTGAAAGCATCCCCTCTGGAAAGAAAAAGCTAGTTTCTACTACAAAGGAAGAACAGAGAAACATGTGGAGCACTGAATTTTCTCATTACAAGAATATGCAGCCAGATACCTTAGAGTGGGTTTAAAGACAAACTTGAGCTAAGACTGCATCTCCAAAAAGGAGGGGCAAGGGGAGACCTGTTTGTGCTTGTAGTTGCTCTGGTCTTCCTTGCGTGCAATCTCAGAATTGCTCAGCCTTGGAGTAGGCTAATTTTTTGCTCAACTCCCTAGTCCAGCTGAAAACTAATATTGCCAGAAAACAAACAAACAAACAGTTTATTTTTCAGCTGGATGAGTGAGACGATCTGATGTAAGCAGGCCAATGCAGTTGGGAAGGCAGTTGGGAGTGGGGCCACAGACCAGGACTGACCTCTGCCTTCAACACTTGAGCTCCCAATAAGTTTAAGCTGTGATAAGTTAAAATCCTTCTAGTGCTCTCTCTCATCTAGGCACTCTTCAGATCTCAGACAGGGAACACAGCTCCTAAGAAGACTACAGAGGGCAGAAATTTCACAGGTCCAACAGAGCGAACTCCATAGTAAGGAACTCTGTCACACAGTAACCTGGAGCTCTCAGATTTTCTGCACCTTACAGTTGCTTTTTAATATATAAATACCACCACATAGAATCATAGAATCATTAAGGTTGGAAGAGACCTCCAAATCATTGAGTCCAGCCTTTGACCGAACACCACCATGCCAACTACGCCATAGCACTAAGTGCCATGTCCAGTCGTTTCTTGAACATTTCCAGGGATGGTGATTCTACCGCTGCCCTGTGCAGCCCATTCCGATGCTTAACCATGCTTTCGGTGACAAGATTTCTAGTCTCCAACCTGAACCTCCTCTGGTACAGCTTAAGGCCATTCCCTCTTGTCCTGAGAAGAGGCTGACCCCCACCTGGCTAAAACCTCCTTTCAGATAATTCTAGAGATGAAAATGTCTCCTCTGAGCCTCCTTTCCTCCAGGCTAAACACCCCCAGCTCCCTCATCTGCTCCTCATAGGACTTATCCTCTAGACCCTTCTCTGGATGCACTCCAGCACCCCATTGTTTTGCTTGTAGTGAGATGCCCAGAACTGGACACAGGACTTGAGGTGTGGTCTCACCAGGGCCGAGTACAGGGGGACAATCACTGCCCTAGTCCTGCTGGCTACAGTATTTCTGATACAAGCCAGGAGACCACTGGCCTTTTTGGCCACTGGGGCACATTGCTCGCTAATGTTCAGCTGGTGCTGACCAGCACCCTCAGGTCCTTTTCCATCAGGCAGGTTTACAGCCTCTATGCCACCAACCTGTAGTGCTGAAGGGGTTGTTGGGACCCAAGTGCAGGACCCAGCACTTGGCCTTATTGAATCTCACACAATTGGCCTTGGCCCATCAATCCAGCCTGTCCAGATCCCTCTGCAGAGCATTCTTGCCCTCCAACAGACCAACGCTCCCACCCAACTTAGTGTCATCTACAAACTCACAGAGGGTTCACTCTATCCTCTAGCTCAAATAGTTAATAAAGATATTAAAGAGGACTGGCTCCAACACTGATCCCTGGGGGGCACTACAGGTCACCGGCTGCCAACCAGATACAGCACCATTCACCATCACCCTTTGGGCCCACCCATCTAGCTAGTTTTTCACCTAGCAAACAGTGAACCTGTCCAAGTCATGGGCTGCCAGCTTTTCCAGGAGATTGCCATGGGAGATGTTGTCAAAGGCTTTGCTGTAAGTCCAGGTAGTCTACACCCACAGCCATCCCCTCACCCACTGGGTGCGTCACCTGGTCATAAAAGGAGATCAGGTTAGTCAGGCAGGACTTGCCTTTCACAAAACCATGCTAGCTGGGCTTGATCCCCTGGTTGTGCTGCATGATGGCTCTCAAGGTGATCTGTTCCTTGACCTTGCCCAGCACTAGAGATAAGGTTGATTGACCTGTAGTTCCCTGGATCCTCCTTCTTGTAGACGGGTGTCACATTGGTTAACCTCCAGTTAACTGGGACCTCTCCAGTTAGCCAGAATTGATGATAAATGATGGAAAGGGGCTTGGAGAGCTCTTCCACCAGCTCCCTCAGTACCCTCAGACGAATTCCATCTGTTCCTCCAGACTAAATGAGTCTAAATGGCTCAGCAGTCCACCAACTACTTCCTGCTGGATTGCAGGGGCCTGTTCTGCTCCCTGTCCCTGTCTACCATTTCAGGGGGCTGTTTGCCCTGAGGATAACTGGTCTTTCTATTGAAGACTGAGGTAAAGAGGGCATCAAGTACCTCAACCTTTTTCTCATCCTTGGTTACAATGTTCCCCTCTGCATCCAATAAAGGATGGAGATTTTCCTTGGCCCTCTTTACAATGTTAATGTATTTATAAAAGCACTTTTAATTATCTTTCACAGCAGTAGCCAGATTGAGTTCTAGCTGAGCTTTTGCCTTTCTGATTTTCTCTGTACATGACCTAACAAGATGCTTGTACTCTTCCTGAGTTTCCTGCCCCTTTTTCCAAAGGTCATTAACTCTCTATTTTTCCCTGAATTCTGGTGAAAGCTCCCTATTCATCCAGGTCAGTCTTCTTCCCCACTGGCTCATCCTTTGGCACACAGGGACAGCCTGCTCCTTTACCTTTAAGATTTCCTTCTTGAAGTATGTCCAGCCTTCCTGGACCCCTTTGTTTTTAGGGGCTGTTTTCCAAGGGACTCTCTGAAACAGTGTCCTGAACAGACCAAAGTTCACCCTCTGGAAGTCCAAGGTAGAAGTTTTGCTGACCACTTCCTTATTTCGTCACAAATTGAAAACTATATTTTCATGGTTGCTATGCCCAAGGTGGCCTCTGACCACCATATCTCCCACCAGACCTTCTCTGTTTGTAAACAGAAGGTCAAGCAGGGCCCCACCACTGATAGGCTCACTTATGAGCTGTGTCAGCAAGTTATCTTTCACACACTCCAGGAACGTCCTAGACTACCTCCTCTCTGCTGTCATGAGCTTCCAGCAGACATCCAGCAAGTTAAAGTCTCCCCGAAGAAAAAGGGCTAGTGATCATGAAATGTCAGCCAGCCACTTATAAAATAGTTCATCTGCCTCTTCATCCTGGTTGGGTGGTCTATAACAGACTCCCACCAGGGTATCTGCCTTGTCAGCCTTCGCCCTGATCCTTACCCATAGGCACCCAACCTAGTCATCACTATCATTGAGCTCTATACAGTTGAAACACTTCCTAATGTACAGAGCCACCCCACCACCTCTCCTTCCTCTCCTATCCCTTTTGAAGAGCTTGTAGTCATTCATTGCAACACTCCAGTCATGGGAGTTATTCCACCATATTTCCACGATGGTGACTACGTTATAGCTTTCCTGCCACTCAATGGCCTCTGGCTCCTCTTAATTCAACACAATAGAGTGGCACTGTCTAATGTTTATATACTAGGTACGATGGAGGTACAACTGTGAGCGTCATGAAGATGCTTAAACAGCTTTGACATTAAAGTGATAGGATTGTAACTACTCAGTTCAATAGGCTCTTGGGGCTTTTTTTCTTTTCCATCTCTGTAGGACAGTTACAGTTGCTCAGATTTCTTTAATGCATTAAAAAAATTGGATTTAAAGTTAAATTTTGATTTTCTCAGTACTACAGGTGATCGCAATATTCCTACAGTACTACAGGTAATCCCAGTATTCCTACAGTGATTTTAGCCTTTGAATTACTTATGTGAATGCGACCTTGTTCAGCCATCCATGGCTTTTGTCAGGCATTCAGCAGCAGTACTGGGAGGAAGGTGCTCACCTGGTAGGTAGCTCCCCCCAGCAGGCAGCTGGAAGGCTTTGTTTGACTTGTAGTCCAGCTCCAAGATATGGTACCTTCAGTCACACTTCAGAGGCATCAGCTTCTCTGGGGTACCAAGGTCCTGATTTAGGCACCCATTAGGCTATGTGGTACCTTCCTCTCTGTAAAACTACAGAACATTCACATATAATTCCTGGATAGCAGTCACAGTGAGTTTAAGCTAAATAAACTATACTGTGAATGAATTATACTGTGAAGAATTCATGTAAGAGGCAATGATCTTTCTCCTTATTTTGTAATGTTACTCAGCAGTATAGCCACATCCCAGGTAAAAATGGCCACCAAAGCATTGATATTCAGTAAGATGTATAAGGCAGAACATAAACATTTATTCCTTAGCTTAGTTATTAAAAATAAAGCTATAGGCTTTCTGGTGAGGAGTGGTTCATCTGCCTAGTCCAATGTGGGAATCAATTAACAGGTACAGTAACCAAAATATATTTTAATAACAAAATTCAGACTTCACTTGCTTAGGAAAACCACCATAATTTAAAATTCTAAGAGAAAGGCCTTTCTGAGCACTGTGCAGTGTATTGTTAGGAGTGATGTGTGCCTAAAAGAATATTTGTGTTTTATGGACAGTTGACTTACCCAAGACAACACAAAATACAACTCTGATGTAAAATGTCAGAGAGCAAACAGGGTGGGAGTTAAGGCTCACAACACGTGTGTCTTCAGGCTGTGCCGTTGCTACTGTGAAAGAACAAAGTGTGCAGTGCTTGAACTGATGCCAGTGAGTGCTCAAAAGATGCAGATAAATCCTGTGACTTCAAATAAATGCCACGGTTTCCTCATATCTTTCTGATGATACAACATACTTTATGGTTCTGGTTTGAACAGTGTGCCAGGAGAGATGATCAGGTTTCACTCATTTAGTTTATATTACCTAGGAGATAAGCAGTTTCCATCTTCAAGGCTTAAAGAGTAACTCCCTTTGTCGGAAATCTATTGTTAATTGTTAATTCCACTAGAAAGCTGGGGTCCAGCTGTAATCATTCACTGAGGTGCAGGTAAGTTAGAGTTTCTTGTTATAAAATGCAGTTTCACTGAAGGAGAAGTTGTTTTTCAGATGTCAAATAGGCTTGATAATAGCCTCAATCGAGTGTACCATCAGTCAGCATAAACCGAGGATATAATCCTCTTTTTGCTGCACTACCGCAGTACTTTATAACTATAGAGTTAAAAATTTTAATGGGGCCATTGATGATTGCTTGTTCATGTGGAAATCTTTTGACTTTTTCAATTCTTTTTTTATTTTATCAGTTGACTAAAGCATTAAAACAGTAACAGTAGCCTGAATGGAACAGTAATACTTATTAATGCTGAAGATCATTTGCTTCAGAAGGAGTTTTTTTGTTTACATCAGGAGAGCATGGGAGAGATGGGTTATTTGTTTGGCATGAAAGTGAGGAGAAATGCAGTTGTAGTTGTGTAGGTGAAATATGTACATCATGACTTAAAAAAATTAAGTCATTTTGCTGAACTTATTTTTTTTTAATTACAGAGTTTACTAAATAACAAAGAAAACAGTGAACTGTGTCTGCCCTCTCTCAAAACCCATTCATTGCTGCAGAGAAGAGACCACAGCAATTAGCAGCTGGCAAAGCATCACACTCAGCAGCTGCTGGTTTTTTAAGTGGTGGTTGTGGTTTCCCTAAATACAAAACAAGACAGGATTTTGTCACCACTTGCTATAATAATAATGCCAAGTATGTTTTATATTATGAAGCCACTGAAAATATAGTTTAGAAGTTGTATTTTCAGAGAAGTGAATGTTTGGCAACTAAGATCCTGACGCCCAGAAAGGAAGATTTGTCCCAAATCACTGTAAGAAGCCCACGCAAAAGTCGGGTGTAAATGCCAAACCAACCAGCTTCGGTATGGTTCTAAATGACCAGCTGAGCCCTTCTCCATCTAGTCTTTTCTTTTCCTTTCTGTAGTTGTTTGGCAAATAAATACCTAGGCTAATGTTTTTACACACCACATGTATATTTTAAGCACTATTTAATTGTTTGTGGAATTCTACTTTTAGTATCAGAGTAACCAGTGTTTTATCTCCCAGTGTACGAAAGGGCTTATTTCTTGCTCCAAGGAGCTAAAAGTTAATAATAGGCATAGAACAGTGAGTGATTAGAATCAGTAAGCTCAGGGGAAAGCAAGGGACTGGGCTATGAGAGATCATCGTTCTTTTCATAGATCTGCTTCTGATGTGCTGAGCGATGCTGGATAAACCTCTCTGGTGGACATCTCCACCTCAACAGCAAGTGTTGTCTTTGTCTAGATTGCCAATGTTTTGGGATAAGACTCCCTTTCTTATTACATGTTAAAGAAGGGTTTATATCAATGAAGTTCATTCTAAAGTGTCTATAGATTACTTTTTTGTCTGTCCATGAGACAAGAGCAAGCTATTGTCAATATATTTACCTCTGCCATCTGGGGGCCTCCACCTTCCTTTGGAAGCATCTGAAGGACGAAATAGGTGGGAAACCTTTGGCTCACATCAGCCTGAGAACCACAGACTCTGCTGCACTACCAACCACTAGCAACTGTCGTGGCAGAAGTGAACAACTTAGCCAGCACACGGCCAGGAGAGCTCCGTTTGCTCATGGGTTGTCACACCTTGCCTGGCTTGGTTTTGAAGAGCCTTAAAAAGCAATGAGTATCAATACTATATTAAGGTTACAGTTTTACTTATTCTATGATAAGAGATGAGTTGCCTGAAGAAGTCAAAGTTAATTTTTGTGACCTCTGTTTTCTCTTGTTTACTCTATAAGGATCTAGAGATCACCTTGGAGTTCTCATCATTGAACAGGAAACAAAGGTGTTGCAAGGTTAGTGTCTTGTAGTAATAGTTCTTCAACTCCTATTGCAGATGTGCAACAGTTTGAACAGCTGTTGCACGTGCAGCTTGGTAGTGTGACTTTGAATTGAATTATACTGTTCCTTGGTGTTCCCAGGAGGTTTCCTCATCCCTCCTCTTCTCTAGCACTGGAGGACTGAAATAGATAGACCATGATGGGGACTGGTGAACTGTCAGGAATAGTTTCTGCACTACTAAGCTGTTTTAAAGCCAGAGAAAAAGCAAATCAGTGTGTTTCAGCCTGTGGACTTCACACCTCTGGCAGTCAGTAAGGAAGCAGTAGGCAGTCCATGAAACAAAGACTCAGCAACCATAAAATGGATGCACACTTCCTTATATCAACAAACAGAGAAGGTAAGGGGAAAATGCAGTTACTAAATGACCGTCTGAAGTTAGGCTTCATTATTTGTTTGGTTGTTTATGGAAACCATTGTGCCAATGCTTCTTTTTTCTTTTCCTTGCTGTTTGGGAAAAAAATAAAAGTGCTGTGATGCTGTTTTGATTAAAGTGTAAAAAAAAAATTGAGAAGATGAACTCTCAAAACTGTTACCAGCTCTGATATTTTGTGATTCTATACCCTCCTCTGTGATTTCTAATTCTGCTCTCTGCTTTATCATTTTTGCCACTATTTACAGTTCTCTTTCTTCCTGTAATATATATAAAAAAAGGGTAAGTTGTAGGTGCAGCAAAATATTCCCCAGGAATGTTTAGTTTAGAAAAAGGATTTTTTCCATCTCTCAACCTGTGAGGATAATTCAGTTTGCATGTGCAGAATTGATAGGTCCACTGTTCAAAGGATTGTGTTCTTTCTCTTATTTCTTGCCATTCCACTTCCATTTCCCATAACACTGTGCCTTCTTCCTGTAATTTTTCAGCTCTCCAAGCTCCAAATTGTCTGCCCTCTTTGTGCCTCTAACACTTTGGATGCTTTCCCCACTTCTTTTTAGTTATGCAGTTTGTTCTTGCATTTTCTTACTGTCTCTCTCCTCTCCCCCAATTTTCCTCCACACAGAGATACCTTTTCTGCTTTTAAAGTAATTAAATTAGCAGAGCTGATTGAAATCTAGGTGAAGCAATTCTCTGAGCCCTGTGCTTTTCAACAGATGCATTACTCAATGTACATTAGTCAATCTTCTGTAGACCTCAGTGAATAACAGAAATGAATATTTGATGAATATATTCAACAACAATAGCATTATTCAAACACTTTACTCAATGAAGTACATTCAGCACATTCAGAAGTTAATGGTGCATTCAGGTTACTCTGTTTGCTCAGCAGAGCATGTGCCTAGCCCCAAGGGGGGAAACCAAGTCACTCATACATTTGAGGGAAACCAAGGGGTGGGGAGGCTCTTCTGGTCATGTGTCTCTAGTGAGCAGGAAAAAATGTGTGTGTATGTTGGTGGTGGTTGGTTTAAGTCACTTCTAGGGAGTAAATTATGTATGTGAGGAGGAAGAGAGATGACCTGCTCTATTTACTGGCTGGCAGAACTTGTTCTCATGCTTATCACTTGTACTTCAGTCAGAAATGAGTAAAACAAATCAATGTATCTCAGATCTTCAGCTTTTGTCCCAATTGGGGTGTGCATGTGTATATGTGCATCAAGCCGGGGGTTGAAGTAAATCTAACCTCACTTCTTGCTCCATTCAACGTTTTCTTGAGCACTTGGTGGGTCCTTCCAACTCAGAATATTCTGTGATTCTGTGAAATAATCTATCTTCTACTGATTAAGACTCTTTAGTGCCTCCTTTGTAATTTCCCGTAGAGGCCAAGTCTTTTTTGTGGTCTTTATGTCCACAGTACCAAATAGATGCTGCTTTGACCCTTTTGTAGCTTTTTTAAACCTTTGAGTATTTTCATTGTCAGCCTCAGCACTGGACATTACCTTGGTGTAAATTGATGTCATCTACATTTTCCACAATCTATTCAATTTCTTTAGCCAGCTTCCCTTCTTGCCTCCCTTTGATTCATTCTGCACAAAATGAACCTCCTCTGAATGCTAAGGCTGAAATCTCTCCTTGGCTACAAAGATTTGAATCACATTTTTTCTTCTCTTGTCCTCAGGTTAGTCAGAATATAATTTTGCCAAAGTGTCACACCCTGACACCACTCAGCATCTGCTTGGATGTATATTGCCCCTTCTAGAAGTGTCACAAAACTTCTTACCGCTGTCATATTTTTCCTACTGCTCAGCTGTGTGCTTATTAGAAGATTTCTCTTTTATTGTTGTCTGAATCCTCACCTTGCTCTTAATTTCATACAGCCCACATAATGTCTTTGTCTTCTCTAGCCTCAGCTAACTTAACTTCTCATCAGTCTGTGCCTGTGCTGTTCCATGAAGTCAATTTTCTCTTGTTTATCAGTTGAGTAACTCCTTATCTTTGAGGTCCATTTTAGTTTTTCCATTCCATATGTTCTTTGCAAGGCTTCAGTGAATTAATTGCATTTTCAAAGCATACAAAAGCATCAGTTAACATCCACATCTATAGCAAGAGTGGTGCATAAAGCAAACAAATCTTTTAAAGGCACATTTGCAGCTCCTTTGAAGAGAGGAGCTGTGCTGGTTATGACCCAAACAATACCACGAAACAGGCTCTGTGGCCCTTTAGGTTTGAAGCTGAAGGTTGTCCTTTACAGCCATTTCTCAATATCATGTGAAGGCTGCCAAGTGGAAAAAAAATATAACCAAAGTTCTGCAGGCTTCTGGCTGTAGAAGCACTGCTGGCCACAAGACCTGGCCTGCAGTCCTTTAATAGATTTCAGTTTCTCCTCAACAGAGCACATAGACCAGGAACCATCTTCAATTCTGTAAAATCCTCAAGGTAAATTTCTCAGACTATATTTAGGTATCTCCATGGCCTGATTTCCACCAGTGTTGGCTGCCACTGACTTTTGCGCCTTGCTGGTGACCCAGCCTATCTTTTATTTCTGTTCAGCTGAAGGCTCAGAACTGGTATAATTCCAGGTATGGATTAATAGGTGACATTAGGCTTTTTACATTAGAAAGGGATGGTGTGGTTATTGTGGCCATTAGCACAAGCCCCTTTCAGCCGTACTCATTTTACATGGCATAACAAAATTCAGTCTTCCCTTCAACAGTGCTGGTGTGCATCTTAAAAATCTTAGGGCGGGCCTCTTTAGGTTTTCTGTCAAATCTTCTTCAGAGGACAGCTCATCCACAAGATGCACACATATGTGCTCACATTCATACTTGCTCCTGTGAACACTTTGTTTCCTTGCCTGTGCTTTATCACAGTGGTATCATTATGCTTTGCTGTTCAGCTCCTTTGAGACTGATGCAGTGATTGCGTGTTACTTACCTAGGAAGCATCAAAGCCCTGGTGCTGCTGTCTTCAAGAACTTGGTTTAATCTTCTGCTTGAGCTCTGTTTGCAGATGTGGAGGACAGAAACAGCTCTTTAAAGAGGTATTTCACGAAGTCACTATCCTACAAACATGTTTAAAAATATAGGAGCATATGTCTGAAAAGATATAAGCTAACTGATATTTCCCTGTTATTTTTTATCTGTAGCATAAAGAAGTAGCTTGGTAACCATTGTTCCCAGTATAAATCAGCAATATATTAATTTCTGCAGCTGTCCCTCAGCTCCTCGAGTAAGTCATGAGCTCTAATGGTAGCACTGCAGGAACACCCAAATAACCTTGCTCCCCAGCAGAAGTCTGGCCATAGGCAGAAGTCATGATGGGCTGCAGAATCAAGAGAGAGCAAAAGAAGTACTGAGCTTTATAGAATCACAGAATCATTTAGGTTGGAAAAGACCTCCAAGATCATCAAGTCCAACCTTTGGCTGATCACAACCTCGTCAACTGGACTGTGGCACTAAGAGCCATGTCCAGTCATTTCTTGAACACCTCCAGGGATGGTGACCCCACCACTTCCCTGGGCAGCCTGTTCCAATGCCTGACAACATTTCCTGAGAAGCTTTGTGATGCTGTGGCCTCATTGCTACTTGTACTCAAACTTGCCAGTGGATGAACTTGTTCATACATCAGGAGTAACTGCAGGTACAGCAATGGGATTTGTATGTGCCACTGCAACCACAGAGGGGTACATTTCCTCTCCTGCTAGGCAAAGCTTGCAGGAGCAGTAGATGGGTAAGGACATTAAAAGAACACAAAGATCTGGAAACTTCTGATTTCCCTCCTCATATCTTCCAGACATTCTGTGTCCTGGGAGTACGTTTAAACTTTTTGCTCTTTCAAAACAAGGGAGCTTGATATCCTCAAAGATCCACTCAGACCTGGAGATAGGGCCAGGTGGAAAAGTGACTGTATATTCTTGGGGGTTATCTCAGGTCTTCTTTTGACTTTGACAAGAGTCTCACTGCCACTGGCTCCCTTAACCAGCTCTTCCAAAAGAAGTGTTACAGATTTAGGACAGGGGAAAACTTGTACAGATAAGAAACTGTAACACACATATATGCACATATTTTTGGAGCGATAAGATATACACAATATACACATAATAAGAAATACAACAAATAAAATCCAGTGAAGCACGACAGGATTTAAAATGTTGCACAAACTTACCCAGAAGTTAGACCACAGACAAAAAGAAGTCAATTTGCACTGGTGCAGTCAAGTTATTATGGGACACGTGGCTCCTATACATAAATTTGAAAGCAAAATCTTATTTGCCTGGGCTTAGTATTTGCATAACTGACAGGTCTAAGTTAAGTGTACTTCAGTGGTAGAGTGCCAGCCTGAACTTGCCAGAGAAAGCTCTACCTGCCAGAAGACCACTGGGGAGAACACGCACATTTCTCACAGAGGACAGTTTAACAGAATGATTAAGGTTCAGCCTAATTGACAAAATGTATTTAAGCAGCACATAAATTTTGTGTAATAGCCTCAGAATGTACAAATTATCAGAAATAAGATCAGCTTGTTGTTGTTTTCCTTTTTAAATGCCTAATAATTTTAAATTATTTCAGCTATTGGTTATATTTCATGTTGAATGAATGTCTCATTTTTCTTCACCCAAGAGGAAGCATCTCTCTGATCCTGTGTTTCTTTGATACAGCATTTCCTTATTTCCTTGAAGAGAAAAATGAGCTGGGGATTCCTACATGATCTGCTGAGTGGAGTGAATAAATACTCAACAGGAGTTGGAAGAATTTGGGTAACTGTTGTGTTCATGTTCCGCTTACTGGTTTATGTTGCAGCCGCAGAAAACATCTGGAAATATGAACATGATGAATTTGAATGCAATATCAAACAGCCTGGTTGTGAAAATGTCTGTTTTGACCATTTTTTCCCTGTCTCCCACATCAGACTTTGGGCTTTGCAATTAATCATGGTCTCCACCCCTTCACTCTTGGTTGTTTTTCATGTTGCTTACAGAGAGAACAGAGAGAAACACCACAACCAGAAGCTTTACAGAAACCCAGGAGAGATAGATGGTGGATTGCTGTGCACTTACCTAATCAGCCTCATTTTAAAAATAGGATTTGAAATAGTTTTTCTTGTTCTGTTTTATAAATTGTACAATGGATTCAAAATACCACATCTTGTGAAATGTGACATAAGACCATGTCCCAGTAGCGTAGACTGCTATATTTCCAAACCCACAGAGAAGATGATTTTCCTCTCTTTTCTGGTGGCAACTTCATGCCTGTGCATCATACTAAATCTAAGTGAATTGACTTATCTAATTTTCAAATACTCCCCAAAATGTTATCTGAAGAGATACATGGAAAAACAGCAAGGCTCCAAAAGCAATTGTCGCAAATCAGAAATCATTGGTTACAACAGAGCAGCACCTGCAGGACGATTCCCCAATAGCTCCTCATCTTTGCCTCTGAATATACGAGATGAACATGAAAAATGTTCCCCGTTGACTTGAAAGAAGGCTGGAGACCACCCTCCCATTACACAAGCTGCTTTTGATAAATTGCTTTTCCAATGAGTGCTTTATGGAACTGAAAGGATAGTTACAGAGGAAATACTGTTTCTCTACTAGTTCCCCATTAATCTAGCTGATAAATTCAGTTACATTATATATGTCATACATAAAATCATCGAGATCTTTTCATGTTGAAACAAGAAGTGTAGAAGTCTGAGAATCCCATGAAGTTTTAATATAAACACAGATGCTTATGATAAATCATGTGAAACAATTGCTCACAGTTGTGTATTGAATATTGCACAGAATTGCTTTGGCACAAGCAAAAAGAGGCTTTTTATACGCAGAGGTGGAAGAACCTGGGATTGATTAAGAAACTGAACAATAAGGGGATGTACAGCATTTGTCAGGTGGGTGGATCTGATGACTGTTGCAACAGCAATAGGAAAGTGCTGGTGTTTGAAGTGAACTATGTAGTCACAGCCCCATTCCACCGGACTAGAAAACATATCAAAACCAGAAAAAAACAAGAAGAGGTAGATGCATCTATTTTAGCCCATAGTGATAAAGACAGACTTGCTTATTTAGCTGTTTATGCACCACTTCCTTCTGAAAGCATCTGAGCCCTTTACAATTTTAAGGGTATTAATCATCAGAACGCATCTTCTAAGGAAAGGCACTTGCTCAAACTTGTGCAAGCAGCACCAAGCAGCTCCCGAGTCATTAGACTTGTCTTCTGCTTTGTGGTTGGGGCATTTAAGAGAAAGGATCATTCCCAGTTCAACAGGAGTGAGTAGAGAAATGCAGACCACGCAATATGGCAGAACAGTAGCCAGTAGCCCCTACTATTGAGTAGCCTGGAATCTGGTCCCTTAAGTAAGGCTGAAAATACTGCTGCTCTTTCCTTCAGTAGATTTCTCTGCTGTAAAAATATGAAAAACCTCCAGTAGAAACAAAGCAAAAAAGAATCATCTATTCCCTCCCTCCCAAGTTTCAGAGTATCTCTTAAATACCACACACTTCTGCTCTGTGTTATGTGTATCATTTGGGAAAACAGGAAAGGGATAGAAATTAGCTAAGACGTGTCTTCTGTTGAACCTAGACTTTTAAGACAACAGAAACTAGTGCCTAAAAAAAACTTATTTCAGGGTGGTGTGCTCTTTCTGTTGCTGAAATGAAAGACCTTTGAACAGATATCAGTAGTGAGCCTGATCAAAATGCACCCTTTAGCATTACATTTATGAGTAGTGGGGTAGCAGTTACAGAATTAACTTTAAGAACTAGTGAATAAACTATGTGCTTTTTGACTGTGATTTTCAAGGTGTGTTGGTTTTTTTCCTAAAATAAACCTACTTTTATAAGGTTTTGCTGCCGAACTGACCAGTGACAGCAGTCCCTCAGATACATCCTTGCCAGCCTGTGGCCAGTTAAAGTTTTACATCTCGAGTGATGCTGAATCAGCACCTATATCAAGACAAGGTGCTTTAAGCAATTCAGGATGTTTCCTGTTAAATTTCTACATACAAGAATGTGGCTCATGACAGAAATTCCAGTTACAAAGTCTTTTGCAGCTACTGGACAAAACCCACCAAAGAACGCATGAAGCAAAACCACTGCCCATGAGCCCTGCGAAACTGTGACTTCCTCAGTCTGAGTAACGGAGAACAAAATCCAAAATCATCTTTTGTGCCCTCATGCATATTTTTTTAAGATAAGGGCAACACTACAAAAGAAAAAAGTGTTTCTAAAATGTCCAGGTTTTAATTATTGAGGACAGATTTTTAAGACAGCACACTAATGAAAAAGTATTCATTGTTTTTAAAGTAAGGTTTATTTGGGAGAAAATGAAGAGAAGCAAACACAGTTTAGACAACACAGGTTTCTGATAAATTTGTGCATTAGCTGCTCTCGAATAAAAAAGTATATAAAGTCAGCGCTTGAAGGGTTTTAGAGCATCCCCTAAAGCTCTGTGGCTGGTCAGAGATTCCCACTTAGACCAAAAATTTTCCCATGAAACAAGAACTCTAATTCTTTGGAATGTATGTTCAAAGTTTTATTTTTAATTCTATCTTCCAACAGCCATGAAATGATAAATAAATTCCAAAATCCACACGTTTCGAGTCTTGGAGGATACTTCAGTTCTGACAAAGCCAGTACCTTACATGAGAAATATTCTGAGAATTTATTATTACGGACCAACTCTGTGTAACCCAACTCACTCACAGCAAACCGCCAAGTAGCCTTTACATCGTGCGCTGAAAAATTTGAGTGTTTGATAGAGCAACTCATGAAAAGGAAGGGAGCGTCACACAAGGCAGCTCTGTCAGATTTTACTGAACCTGAGAGAACAGAAATAAACTCATCTCTTTCTGAACCCTTGTTCTTGGCCATCATTTGGTCTTTTACTGGCTCCTTCCCTTCCACAGTCCTTTCCCTGCCTTTATAGGCTTTTGTTCTCCAGTTTAAGTTTCACTCATCCATACATCCCTGAAGGCGTTTGCTGTTATATTTTTTGGTTCAAATGAGTTACAGGCTTGGCCCCTAAACTTCTGAGTCACCCAAACAGACATGTTAAAAAATTTAATTCAAGTGCTATGTTCCACAAGGATATAATCAACTGATAAGAAGCTGATCTGAGCCTATACAGTAACGGATTAAAAACATGATCACTCCATGCACATTCATACAAAAATATTTACCTCATTCATATTCCAAGACATCAAAAGATCCATGTCTTACACAGACTTTCATTTTCTTTAAAATCCAAGTAAGTTCCTTGCCTTGGGACAGAAGAGGTTTGAAAAAAAGACACAAAAATATTTCCCTATTTGCTGATAGTTTATTCCCTCAAGTTCCTTCTCCAGTACCACTGGCCCTGTTTCCCACCCCTTTAATAGTATCACCTTCTCCATGCCAAGGCTCCAGCCAGGGCTGAGCATGAGCTTCTCCAGCTAAGGGGACCTAAACCTCAGGGCAGCATGTCCCTGCCTGCACAGGTGGGAGCCATAATCAACTCTTTGGCACAGAAACTCATTGCAACAATTGGCCAACTACTTTTCGTCACCTGATCCAACAACTGGTTCTAGTGTTACTTGTACAAGCATTGCTCACTTGCTATCCAACAGCCATAGACTTGACATCCCAGTGTAACCCACAGTCCCCCCATCCTGCTCAGAAGGACCCCCTAAAACATGTGAGGACAAGCCCACTACTCTTATTTACACTGAGTTAGGGCTCAGACAATAGATTTCTTTATAAACATAGTTAACCACAAGAGAGACTGACGTTGACTTTCAGTCACAAAACAGTCTGTTCTCTGCATCCAGCCAGACTCCTTGATTTGGTTGCTTCCCCATCAGCACCAACTTCTGTTTTGGTCAGAACATTCCTGATGGCAACAAGGGGTTAAAAGAAAGAGCTTTTGCTTGAATGCCTTCCTCCCCACCCCACCCCACCCCTGTTCACAGGTGACAAGTCTGGAAGGCAGAGATAGAGGAAGGAAAAAGGCAAGGCAGAAGACAGAGAGGGACTAAGCAATGGGGCCAGTGGCACCTCTGGGCGTTGGGGCACCCTGCAGGCTGAGGTGCTGCTGGTAGAGTTGCCTTGGCCACTTTGGAGCCCCATCCTGCTCTGCAGCCCCAAGGGCAGAGGTATGGCTTCAGGCTCCAGGGAAGCCATCCCTTCAGGCATCCTGCTGCTGCTACAGTGGGAGGTTTCCTACATCATCAAAGATAAAACATCCAAATGCAAATACCTTTTTTATTTCCTTGGGAGCCTTTCTAGGTGGCATTACCAAAACAGAGTGCCCTCTGCAGTCTGTGACATCTTAAATCAGACCCTGCCTTTGTTCCCCCACTTTAAGTTCAAAACACTTTTTTTTTTTTGAAAAGGAAAAACCAAGCCCCATACTAGCTTACCTGTGTCAGTACCCACCTAAAAGGGTCAAGGAAGGCACTGACTATATTGGAACAGCACCTACTTTAATTGGATTGGGATGAGACAGTATTAAATATTTCAGTCTCAGAAATTCAGACCCTACATTCAGATACAAACCAGAAATTACTTTCTGGATATTTATGACATTGGAATTTTTTTCCTTTTCTCTTTTTTTTTTTAAATAGCATTCTAGTATAGCATTGTTTAGCTAAATAGTTATATACCATTCTCAGTCCAAGAACTGCAAATGATGTGGAATTTATCATCAGGAATGTCAATGCTGAATCTATTCAATTCACAACACAAAAATTCTTCTAAAAGATTAACAGTTGCGAGGTCTGTTGATAGTGACTGCAGTGGCTAAGTAAAGCTGAAAATGAGATTTCAGGCGATCTTTGTGGATCCACTCCAGAGGATCTCTACCCTCTTCTCCCCTGTAGAAGTTCCCTCTACTATCACACCATGGCTGGTATCCAACAGCAGCTCCATCCAGGGGGACCACGTGGCCTCTAGTAGGTAGAATATGGCACTGTGTGCTTGTAACTATTATAATAAACTCTCCTACAGTTAAAATGCAAGGATTTGTTTTGGTTTTATCAGACAACACCTTTGATTTACTCACTTGGCAGAATTACCAGTTTAGTCACCTGGGAGGGATCAAAAGTGAGAGGAACCAAGGGGCTCTGTTCAAATGGAAGCACAGGCTGTCTGTGAAGGTAGGCAATTTAGCACCACAAAGCAAACCAAGGGCTATGCTCAAGTTGAACTGCTGTTGCCTTCCTGCTGTTTCATACATAATCCTCACTCTCGCAACAAGTAATTTCATTTTGTTGTAGGAATGTGCCCTCTGGACTGATATTCAGGAAAACTATCAAAGATTCCAGGTGAATAGCTTAAGAGCAATCAAGTGTAGCATTTAATACAAAGCTTTACATGGCAAGACAAGTTCATAGAAAAAAAAAAATAAAAATCAAGCCAATCTCACCCAAGTTAAAGACTATTTTATATTACTGAAGGTAGGTCACACCCAATAATGAGAATAATCCAAGAAAAATTTTTGGTACCACACAACCCAGCTGGCTTGTCCCATCTGAGTCAAGATAATCACATGTGAAAACCAACACTGAAGACTTCTGGGTACTGACAGCTCCCACCAATGCATTCACACTTTTGGTTACTCAACAAACTGGATACCTGTCATTTCAGTTAGCAGCATACAGAGGAATTGCTCCAATCCCGGGCACTACAAGCAGCACCGCTTCTGAGGCTCATTCCAGTGTGGAAAAGAGAGGTTGTGAGGGTGGTGCCAGGTACAGTCACAGCAAGAGGCAGAAGAGCGCAAAGGGAGCCCATGCCATCAATAGAGCACAACCACTGAGTTTATCTGTAAGATCACAATCTCACTTCCCTTTCAGGAAGTGTCTTGTTTATTTAGCTTTTAATGGTATGGCATAAGGACTCGTGTATTTTATGGATAGATACCAAACTGGTATTATCAAAATAAACCATCTGTTTTATAAACCCACTATTTACAAAAACGGTTTCTGAAGTTTTTTTGTTTTGTTTTGTTTTTTTAACAAAAATTAAACTATACACCAATCTAAGTTACAGAAACAAAAATAACCTTTATAAGATCACATGTATAAAACAAGAAATGAAATGTGTTTTTATTTAAGGCAATACTGGGCTACTTCACAAATCACCACCTCAAATATATACACTGCTCCACACTACTAATTTTCTATCACATTCACAACGGATTCTTTAATACCAAATATTGTTTTAAATCTCCAATGTAGCAAACTATTTTTATTCACATTTCCATTTTTATTATGGAATCATAAATGCTTTGTATCCAATTAAAAGCAATGAAAAATGTAGCTATAAGAAAACTATTATATTTATGTGTTAACTACATATGAATAACATCCATAGATACTGGATGTCAAAATTTACAAAAATGAGTGTGTCAGTATGTTTAACCTATGAAATGTGATCTTATCCAGCTCCTCTTCTGTAAATAAATGCTTTATGCAAAATAAACTGGATATGACAGACTTAGCTAGCTTTAGTTCAAAAGTTCTTAATTTAAAATGACTGAAGGACAGTTTTAAAAACTTGCTCACTTAGTTACAAATTAAAATTCCGAATATAAATGTGTCATTTAATAGTTTAGACTTACAGACTGCTGGTGGCAGCAAATGATTTACAATAATAAATATATACAAAAAAATTGTATCTACAAATAAAGAGAACTGTTATACATGAGAAGTAACCTGGTGAAAGATACCAATCACAGACAACTCACAAAGATTTAGTTTATGGAAAGGACAATCTGATAGAAAGTTGAGGTCTTGATAAAGTATTTACAGAACTG